TTCTCCTCTTTAGCTGCACCTCTACATGCTTGCAAAGAGCCACCCAACGTTCCCAGGGCTTTTCAGAAGTCTTACGCTGGGGTACGCATCACCCCTGGGACCAGTGTTAAGTACGGCTATGAGCTTGTCCCAGGGCCGGGTCTCTTGTCTGCAGAACTCCTGGAGCTCAGAACTTGTGTCGCGGGCAGCAAACCACCCTTTCAATCATCCGTGCGGTAGCTCAGAAGCTGTTCCCAGGGTTGGAGGACATCCCTACGGTTTGGGGCTCAAGATGAGGGTGGTGGTAAGATGGGGAGAGTCAATTAGACAGGTACTAGTTTTTACCGTTTAATTAAACGGGTCATAGTTAGCAATATCGGAGTGATATCGGGTTGATACCAAGGTTGATGGTTAAGCCCTGATCAGCCTCTAGACATGCTGAAGGTAGCTGGTGAACTGTCGTGCATCCCGCAGGCTGGCTTCAGCACAGGAGAAGTGGGGATCTGCTGACAAATAGAGGTCTCTAGAAAGGGGAATAACTCGTAGCTTCTGCCTGGAAGCTGTCAGTTCCTTTCAAAACAGGCCTTTTGAGAAACCTCTCCCCCTTGCACAGCACACCCCGGCACCTCCCTGCAGAGGCATCTGCTGCTCCCCCGCTGCCAGCTCCGCCTTTACACCCTTTTTCTTTTCCTTCTCTTTTTAATTCACTGTGGTTCTCAGAGGTCCGTTGTCCCAATCCAAACATAATACCTAGTACTCACGTCCCAGTACCTAAGCTGGGGCCTGGGGAAGATACGTACGAGTGCGGCGACGATCTTCCCATGGGTGCTGGGATGAAAGGCAGCATCGCCAGCGCTGCCCTGGCGTGGGTTTGGCAGTGCCGGGGTCGCTGCTGTACCAGGGTGCAAACCGGGGATGCTTTTGACAGAGGCACGCTGTGGCTTGGTGACCTGCCAGCATCTCTTGTAAGGCATGAGGAAACCCCAGTTAGAGCTGCCTTTAGTTTAGTTTTCTTTGTTATTACAGTTTGTGACCAGCCCCAAAATATTTCTGGTGGGAGATATGGTAGCCGGACAGAAAGGTTTTTTGTTGAGACCTCAGTGGTGTACGTGTGTGCTAGAGGTTACACGGTTGTAGGAGAGCCCCTCCTTTATCGTAAAGCTGGAGGTGAGCTGCCGGCACCCTGGCATCACCCCACCCCTGGGTGCGCGGGGCGGTCGTACTGCAGCCTGCTAGAGCAAGCGCTGTTAGGAAAGGGCAGAAATAGCGTTTAATTGTGTGCAATGGAAACACTACGTGTTTGGAGTCCTGCTGATGAGGGCTGCTCAAGCACGCTTATTAACCCTTATCTCTCTGCCCCAGTTGCTGCATTTGTTAAACTGATTTGTCTTCTCTTACCCGACGGAGGTGCAGCGAGGGTTGGTCACGATAGCTGTATTCAGTCGGAATACCCCTGAAAAGCCCTGGTTTTTGGTGATCCACAGGGGTTCAGTGTCCCGTCCCAGACATCACACACGGACAGCTGAAACCTGCACAGAACTTCACCTACGGCAGCACAGCCACGCTCGAGTGCGATGACGGCTACGTCCCCGTGGGTGCCATCACCACCGTGCGCTGCCTGGGCAGTGGCAGGTGGCACCCGCGGGTGCCTGCCTGCACCCTAGGTACGCAGAGATCTCTTTTCTCCTTACCTTGTCTCCCATGTGTAATTGCCTGCTTGCATTTCACTGAAAGCATGTGCAGTGTTCGGAGGAGAGGGGTTGGGGGGGGGCACCACGGCGAGAGCTGCGCTGTCTGACGTTTGGTGGCAGGACTCCCCTCTGCTCTTTCATCGCCCCTGGGTAACGCGGCGGGGCTGGCCAGATTGGGCTGTCCTACCGTACATCCCATAAGGTACAAAAGTGTACGAAGATAAAGACTCGTTGGCTTCGCCACATCCTTTGGTCAATTTATCACCAGTATTTTTTTCCGTTTCAGTTCACCCCCCATACCCCACAGCGATGCTCGGGGTCGTTGCTGTCCCTTGCTGGGGTCTCCCAAAGGCAGGGCTCAGCTTTGTCCCCAGCCGGTCTCTGGGGGAGATCTCCCAGCCCTAAGGGTCCGTGTTGTCCCCTGCTCTGGCACCAGGTCGCTGTCCCTACCCTCCTGCCGTTGAGCACGCGGACCAAAGCTCTCAGCACGAGTTTCCAGTCGGGACAACCGTGACCTACTTCTGCAGACTCGGATACACTTTGCTCCCCGAAGTATCTCCAATAACTACTTGCCTTAAAAATTTCACGTGGTCCGTAATCCCAAAGCTTTGCCAGAGTAAGTACACCATTTCCTTTGCTTTGCCAACAAAGCATCAATTTAACAATGTGGAAATAACATTGTTTTCAAAATACCCGCTATTGCTGCTGTGCCATAAGGATTTCATTGAGCAGCGCTTTGGCTCTCACTAATAATAATTTTGCTATTCAAAGGGTAGTGTGGCTGAAAAGAAATAGCTGCAATTCACACTGATTATTTTGCTGTTCAAGCAAAGATGCAGTGATGCAGCTAGTAACGTACCATCCACCCCTGCAGCACGATGTACAGCTAATCACAGGGCTCGGATCATTCTGCCTTCCAAGAGAAATGGTCGTTATCACATAATTACTGTCCCTGAGCACGCCAGGTCTGGTTAGAGATGTCTGTCAGCATTAACAGGCCGCCTGGCCGTTCTCTGGGTCAGCAAGCCACCACCGTAAAAACCCGTGCAAATGTCTCCTGCTCCCCCCTCCTGACCCAAACCATGGGAGCTCTTTCTGACACCGGTGTTCCTCAGAGGTGCAGTGTCCCAGCCCAGCTCTCCGCCACGGGACAGAGGTCAGGCCCAGGAAAGCCGAATACACCTTCGGACACCAGGTGGAATTTCGGTGTGATCCTGGCTATGTGCTGAGGGGCAGTCAGAGGATCCAGTGCTGGTCCGACGGGACGTGGAGACCCCCCGTGCCGTACTGCGACAAGGGTGAGTGTGAACGGTGTGAACACGGTGGGTGCCGGGAGTTGCATCTCTGCAGCAGGTAGGAACAGCAGGGAGAAAATGGCATAACCAGAGCATCGCTTCTTGGAGCAGGTGGTGTTAGGAGGAGGGGTCCAAGTCGCAGCATTAAATGGCTTTAATGTTTCCATCTTCTGTCAAAACTGTAATTGATTAAATGTGTTGAGCAACGGGACTCGCAGCGGTTTCTCAGAGGACTGTTCAAGGGGTTTATGATACTCACAATTCCCTGACCCCATTTATGAGCAGGATCATTCCTTATGGAAAAGAGGAGAGGCCAAGGGATGGAGGCACATGCTGAGGTACCGGGGCCGTGCCGTGCCGGCGGGCTGGGGTGGTTGGCTGGGTCAGTCTGGGAACACTGGTGGAGATAGGACCAAAGCTGGCAAGAAGCAAGGAGGACTTTGAGGAGAGTAACCCAACATATAAACATCGAGAACTGGCTTCTCCTGTTACTTCCCTGCACTTCCATCTCCCTGACTTGAATGAAGAAAATCTTACTTTTTCCTTTCTCTGTTCTCTCATAGTCTGTGGTCCCCCTCCAAAAATCACCAATGGGCAGCACTCTGGCTCGAGAACGGAGCAGTTCCCCTACGGCTTCGAAGTGAAGTACAGCTGTGGCGAGGGTCTGTCCCTCATCGGGGACGACTCCATCTACTGCACCTCCGACGATGGGGTGAACCTGGCGTGGAGCGGACCTGCCCCGGAGTGTAGGGGTGAGTCGTTTCTCTTGTACGGGATCAGACTGAAACCAGGACCTGGGTGCAATGTTAGCGGTCAGCGCAATGGGATTAAAAGTGAGTAGGGCTGCCAGGAGATCCTGCTTCATTTGCAGGCTGCTTTGCAGGCTCAACAGCTCTGGACTGAGGATGATCCATGTGGAAATAGGGGACTCTGGTTCTCCTATAGTGATGGCCATCAGGCGGTCAGGAAGAGTGGCTCTGCCCTGCCTGACCTGGTTCCCGGTTGTCCCTGGGGAAGGGCAGCAGCCAAACACCCCGCTCCCACCTCCGCTCTCTTCCCGCAGTGGTTCGGTGCCCCAAGCCCACCGTTGAGAGGGGAAGGATGACTCCACAGAGGTTCACGTTTCCCTATGGGGCGGCCGTGCGGTTCTCCTGTGACGAAGGCTTCATGCTGCAGGGCGATGCTGAGAGCCGGTGCCTGGCTGACAGCACCTGGCACCCTCCCCTGCCCACTTGCCAGCCAGGTGGGTACCAGCCGGGAGCCGAGCCAGCGGCCCCTGTGACGGTGCGGAGAGGTTGGGGTGCAGCATTGCGTAGCTGTGCCTGGCCTCGGGGCTCCCCTAGTGCCGCCTTCTCTTTGCAGAAGAAACAAACTTCCTAAAGCTGATGCTTACCAGGCAACAGCTGAATTTTTCTCGACAGTCCTGTGTACAGGAGGCTGTAAGACAGGTCAGGAGACACCATCATTATTGACTTTCTCTTCAGTGCACCTTCTTACCGACAAACATCGATGCGCAGACTCTTGCGTGGGGATGCCTGAATTGAGACACTGTCAGAAACCAGCAAACGCGTAACACCTCTCGGGGGCTGCTCTGACCTCCCCCTCGCCTCTTGAAGGGCCTGGGGAAGTAACTTTGCTTTAACGTTTGGTTTCGCAGCTCCACAGATTTAAGTTCCCCTGCACAGGCTCCGTCTTCCCAGACACTGTAGGGGTTTTTTTCTACCTACATAATGATGACCCTCGTGCTGAGCTGCCTTCTGCTGTGGGTTTGCCTTTCAGTTCTGTGTCCACAACCACAAGTGGTCAATGGAAGGCTGAAAAGCACTTTGGAGGGTAAAACATGGTACCAAACAAATGCGACTGTTACTTTTGAATGCCTTCACGGATACCACTTCTCAGACGATGGAGACGTGTCTTTAGAAGACTCTTGGACAGCCACGTGCTTGCCTGATGGTACCTGGACACCGCTGCCCAAGTGTGTAAGTACCATAGTCTGGCTGAGTTCCCGGATGGATGCTGCCTGGCTTCCAATACGAAAAATAACTGTGTCAGCTTCTTAAAATCTTTTGCTTTATGGCACCAGTGAGGGACACAGTCTGTGCTGGGGCAGTGCACGGCAAATGGGACAGTGCAGACCCAGAGCTGAGGAGTGGGTGGCTCTCCATCTGCTGCAGTGCAATCTGACATGCTTTTTTCTGGGTTTTGTTTGTTTTACTTTTTAACAGAGGAAAGAAGGTGATGCTGATGTATGTGAAGAGGTTCATTATATTAAAACGGTCTTTGAATGCGGTGTGCCTATGGCAGAAGTGAAAACTCTGCTGGAAATAGAAAAACTGTTTCTGGAGATTAAAAAACTAAAGGTGGAACTAGAAAACTTGAACAAATGAGTCCTGTAACACACTGTAAAGGATCACCTTCCCTTTGGTGAACACGCAGTTTGTGGAGTCACAGTATCTATAAGAAGGCTCGCGGTGACTTTATGGTTCATGCTTGCATGCCTATAGCCAGAGAAATATAACCAATATATGGGAGATGGCTTGTCATGCTAGATGCTGGAGCATAGAGGGGTTTTTGCTCTTTTCCTTAAATCTGACAAGCTTGATTTGCTATTTAACAAATGTATTGTTTCACATTTTATATTAGGAAGCATAGTAAGAAATTAAATTGAGCTTCTTTGAGTAACTGCATAAACTGTGCTAAGCTAAGAGAAGGGAGGACCGAAGTCCACAGAAGTAAACTCCTAGCCGAGAGAAGTGCCCAGCGGTTCTCGCTGAAGGTGCTTCTGCCATAACCGGTTTCTGTGGGTGTGCTGCACCCCCTGCCCGTGCTGACCGCAGCCTGTCAGGGCATTAGCACACTGCTGCTGCCTAGAAATGGTAGTGAAGTCAGTGCTTAGCTACGTGATTTTCTGTTCATCTAGCTCATGATTTCTGTTCATCTAGTTAGGGGCGGTTACGCAGAAGAAGTGCATTTGTAAAGGCTTCTATTCACTTACCTCTGGATTTAAGAGGCAACAGGTTTCTGGCCCAGCTCTGTACTCGACAGATATCTGTGTTGGTGTCACCTTCCACGACCCTATTTCTGGCAAGCAAATGCTAAGAATAGATGTAAGTTTACATGTAGAGAACCAGACAGCAAAGATTGTTCTTACTATTCAATAAACGATGATCAGTTTACATCGCTCTGTGATGCAGCAATTACTCCTTCCCTGCAGGATTACCATAAAGATGGAGGTGTAACCACGGATCTCTTGTAATCTGTCAGGGTGGCTGTAAATTAGGCAGATTTCCAGTGTGGTCCAACGGTTGTTTGGACTGAGAGCCGAGCCCTGGCAGCCCGGGTCGGCCCTCGGGGTGCCCAGGGAGCCGCAGCGGGCACGGCACGGGAGGCAGCTGGGCTGAGGGCACGGTGCGGCACAGCAGGACACTGCTGCCTGGGCTGGGTGGGAGAGGGGGGAGCATTCATCTCCTGCACAAGTGATTTGCAGAGGTGTATCATTGCCAGATGCATGCTTTTATGAGTTATTAGAATTGCTCTAAATGGTGCTAGAGCCTAAAGCATAACACCTAGGGAAGAGATGGTGTCTCCCATCTTCACGCAGAAAGATGCTTTGGTAATGCACCCTGCGCTTCATGTCCTGGTGTGGAGATCTGCAGTGGGAGGCACTCTCAGACCCACTCCGCTTCTCCCTGTGCCGCAAGGCGAGCAGGGCTGCACCCTCCTGGCGTGACACCTTGCTCCGCTCTGCGTGGAGCTCCCCTGGGACTGCAAGCACAAAGCGTCTTCTCTCCCTGTGCAAGGCTCAAAGGCCATCGGCATGAATAAGATCAGGGTGTTAGGTCCTGCATCTATCTAAGTGTGTTTGAGTAGTCTCGACTGATGTCAGACGGGATATTTCAGAGCGTTAGTCAGTAGGCAGATGTATTCGCTCACACCCGTTCCTAATTACAAATGAGTCAGGCAATTAAGAAAAAAAGAACCAAGCACAAAGGAAAATGCTTTTATTTTCTGTTTCACTAACTCTGCTTATGGAAGATCTGTGTTGCATTACCTGCCAGCAAACAACTAAGTAGGCATTTTCCTACCCTGGCTACATCTTGGGGCTAGGTGGGGGTCTTTCCCGCTCTGGTAGCATTTGGTTTTGGTAAAAGTGTGTTAGTCAGCGCTCACTGCCAGTCTCAGGTCAAATAAAAGGTTGAGTTATTCCCCGACTCCTTATGGTGGGGCAGGAGGGCCAGGAGGCTTTACCCGAGCCTGTGGGTGACAGCTGTCCCCCACCCCGCTTGCTCTCCATGTCCCTGCCAGAGGATTTCTCTCCATGAGTGTTCTGGAAAGGTTTCCACTGCTCCAAAGGCTTGGCTGAGTCTGCTGTGCTGCATCTCCTCCCAGCTTCAAAACAGCCCCTTGGAGCTAACAGTGCTTGACAGAGGAGCATGGAAACTGCTGCAATGAAGTCTGGAGAACCAGGACGGGGAAAGCACCCAGGCACCCTGAACTGCAGGGTACCCACCGGGGCACGGGGGTCTGGCCACCCCATGCTGCTCCTGGCCTTGCTGGGGCTCCTAGGCATGCCTGTGGCTCACGGTGAGTACGGGGACACGGGATGCATGGGGAGGACCACCGAGACCTGCGCGGATCCCACCTTGCTGCTCAGGGGCTGGGGTGGGTGATGCCACCATCCCCAAGCCTAGGGACCCATTACTTGATGCTCCTATGGATGCAGCGCTGCCTGGGGCCTTTGCCCAGAGGGGAAGCCTGGGCCAGCCCAGTCGGCCTCCCGAGACGCTCGCCGGGGCTGG